CTAACATTAAAGACACATCAATAGAGTTGGCATATCAGTCGGCAAGTCATGAGCAGTTCCAAGCAGGGAAATACCCAAATACGTAAGCGAGACTATTTTACCAAAGACTAGCATTTGATTTTAGTCTATTGTTATGTCATGTGGTGTGCACAACGTAATTTATTCGTCTCCGTTATATTGTTGATAATTTTATTTGTTGTATTTTATTCTTGATATTAATTTAATATGTCAAACCTGCCCAAAGGTAAAAAACGGCCATGCGCTAACAAAGTGAATAAATTCAGTGATTTCCCAATTCCAATTTAATCGGCTTTATTTCCTATTTTATATACATTTGGTATTAAGGCTACTTTTTATTTCATTTATTTCATATATAAATATATAAAAACAAACAAACAATATAACATGAGGGACAAAGTTGACAAAGTTGACAAAGAATGGTATCCAGCCAGAACGACAATACAGTCCAGGTACGGCTGGGCCTTCCTGGTTGCCGGTGTTGTGCCAGCTCATGCCATGTTTCACCTTTTATCATTCTGTATGGAGCCATATTTCTGCACAGAAACAAACAATGCATTATAATTCATAAAGCATAAAAAAAATTGAATAATTAAAAATGTCAGTTTACAGAGAACATGTGGGTGATTGTATTCATACAGGAAAAATTCCAAAAAACCTGCTCAAAATAATGATTTCTTTATTTTGTAAATGAAAATTGACTTTACGTCCACGGTGGGGTTTGGAGTAGGGAAGGTGTGTCTACACATTGTAAGGAGTGAATTCCCCGAATTTATTCTATAATGGTGCTAGACCTAAGTAATTACTCAGGTCTACAAAAAAAATTTTTTGACACATGTTTTGGTTCTGAGAAGTGATTTCTAATAATTTTGGTGAGTTAATTCCGAAAATCTCACGCATTTTTTTGTATCACGTAAGGTTTTTTTACAAATGATAAAGGAAAAAAACATTTTATAGAAATATAGGTATGCATTTATATTTAGTGCAAGAGTGGAATACAAATTTGAAAAATATATACTATATGTATTTACTGTTTCTTTGCCTGAAAACTTCGTTGAGAGGACTTTCGGCTGTGTGTTTTATGGGGCATATCCCGTTATAACATCCAACAGTAGTCTGCTATCATTGACATGCTCCATCTACCTTGGTATCGCCTTTCCATTTCCTTTATATCTTGGTGAAATCTCTCACCCTGTTCTTCGCTAACAGCTCCAAGATTCTCTGGAAAATAGCCCAAGTACGAAAACAAGAAGTGCAATTTTAAACTCATATTGCACCCTGGCCCCTGAAAATGTTGCAACATATTTTTGACAATATTTTAATAGTCTTCGTCCTTACGATTTCCAAGAAATTTTTCAATTACTTACTTAAATGAGATCCAAGCATTCTTTTCATCATTGGTCATAGTGTCTTCAAAATCCTTGTCTTTACACAATGTTCTTATCTGAGGCCCAATAAAAATACCTTCTTTCAGCTTGGCATCTGATAAGTCTGGAAATTTTGCGCACAAGTATTTAAAACACTGTCCGTTTTTGTCGAGAGCTGCTACGAATTATTTCATCAAGCCCAGTTTGATATGAAGAGGAGGCAATAATACTCTTCTGGGGTCAACTAAGTTATTTCTCATTATGTTTTTACTACCAGGTGTAAGCCTTGTTCTAGAGGGCCACTCTTTTTGAGTCCAGTGTTTGTCTCGTGCACGACTATCCCACTCACAAATAAAGCAGGGGAACTTTTTATAACCTCCCTGTTGTCCCAGTAACATACAAAGCACCTTTAGGTCACCACAAAGCATCCACTGATGTTATTGGTAATTTATTTTTTGTAAAAGAAGCTCTAAATTTTCGTACGTTTCTTTTAGATATACCGAATGAGCAACAGGAACCGAGGCCAGTACGTTACTATTTTGTAATAAAACGCCTTTTAGACTTCTTTTACTTGAGTCAATAAACAACCGCCACTCTTCTTTGACCTACAGGACATTTCCTAACTTTGTAATCAAGTCAGGAATATTGTTACAATATACCAACTATCCCTCTTGACTAAAGTATTGACTTAATTCCTTTTCTCGATTCCTGTAAAATGTCGTTGTGGTTCCAGGTGCCAACAAATTTTTCTCACGAAGTCTGGAGGCTAACAATTCCGAAGCATTCTTTGGAAGGTGCAAATCTCTAATTAAATCATTTAGTTCACTCTGATGAAACACTTCGGGCTGGTTGATGTTTTCTGGATTAAACTCTGAGTCACTAAAGTCAGAAACCGACATCTCTGATGCTGACGAAGCGACGTTTTGTACATCTTTTAGAAGGGTAGGTATTGGTACATCCGGTCCATGAGGAACTGGTCGAATAGCAGAATCTACATTGAGGTAGGAAATTTGTTTTTTATTTTTTCTGTTGAAACCTTAAACAACACACGAAAAAAAAATAACAATCGTCAATATGATTTTTGGGCTCCCGCCATACCATAGGAATTCCAAAACTTAAACATTTCTTCCTACCTTTTGTCCAATTTCTTAATGCTTCTACACAAATAGAACAAACAATATGGGGTGCCCAGGATTTGTCTTGATCACCAATATATACTTGAAAATAGGCATAATGTGCGTTCTTCACAAAAGAAGTTATATTTTGCCTTTGCTTTGCCACGACATAACTACCACAGATATAACAAAAGTTGTTTGGATTGTTTGCACAATCCCTTCTTTGCATAATTATTTATTTTATAACTTTAGAAAACCGCGAAATACAATAAAACACTCGCCAGTAGGGTTAAACGACGACTGATCAATGTAACAATGATAAATGAACGTGTATCGACAAGTTTCTGCGTCGACTCTGTTGTGTTGCTGAGAAAACTGCTGTAAAACAGTGTTGCCAGATCACAATTTTTAGTAATAAATTTAATTATAAGGAGCATGGGATAAAATAGGACGCAAAATTTCCCATTCGGTAACCTTTCAAAAGAATACCTATGAAACAATACATTTTAAGCATAATGCCGTGTTGTAAAAAAGCTGGACGTGATGCAACAAAAATAACATTATTTTTGAGAGCAGTGCCTCAAAATAAATCAAAAATAGCTGTAGCTCCTAAACATCAAAATTTTTGAAGATCTGTGTAATTTGTAAGGTGTGCAAGACAGACCTGATATGCTGAGACAAATGTGATTGTAAACGACACGTAAATTCTGTGCAACATAGAACTAAAAAAAATGGCGTGCCTGCGACAACACTGTTTACGTTCGACTTAAACCGAATGTTACTAGCTAGCAAAAGATTAACTGAGTGTACTGACCAAATAATTACGCGGATGGTACTGGAGATGTTAGAAAAATTTGACCTGTCAAAAAATCAAGTGTTGATGTTTGTGACCGATGCGATGGTGCCGCGACAATGCGTTTGGTAGACCGTTCTCTTCAAGAACACGGTTAATGTAGGTTGGTACATGTTACGTGTAAAATGCAGGCTTTATACCTTGTGGCAGAAACTATTCGACAAGGTTTTCCAGAGGTAGATGCATTAATATCAAGTACAAAAAAAAGTGTTTCTGAAATCTCCTAAATGTCTTCGCGTCTTTATACATGATGCTGCAAAGTTTTTACAGATCTTTTCCAGTTTGTGATAACCAAGCTAGTTAAGAGGGTAAGTTGTGCATACATTGTTATAAATTGTAACAGTTTATTGCTTTTATTATTAGTTAATTTCTTTTATTATACTTATTATGATGCTTACGCCTATGTCCTGCGGCGCATTTTTTGCCAACTCTACACATTAATTAAAACTGACGGTTTTAATCAGCAAATAATAGTAAAATAAGTTTTCCCTAATAGAAAATTACATACTTGGTCGATGTCTCAACTAATTACCATATGGGTGTCTAAAAATCATAGAAAATATAGGGAAAATTTAAAAAATAATAGTGATACTAGTTTTCCTCTTGAATTCAATCCCTATACTAGACAAAATTAAAATGCATATAAATACGATATCTCAACAAGTGATCAACAAAAAATAAAAAATCTGAATCGGAAGTACACTAATTTATACCTGGAATAGGCTTAAGAGTGAAACGTAAAAATGTCTCTATCACATCCATTTGAAAATTTTTTGAACTACAACAGCCTTCCATGAGACGAACAACGAACACAAAGAAATGAGACTATTATGTGAAAGGGAGAGGGACAACGTAAACAGACGTACTAAATACCCCAGGTATTATAGGATCTGCAGGAAATATAGGTGTAAAACTGTTATTGTTGTTCTTCACGATGCCCTTGTAGTTCATCCGAATGTTTCGGAAGGTTCGACTTTAAATCAGAACTAGTAATAAGGAAAAATATTGTTTTCTGCCTACTGGTATACCCAGTGTAATTAAGTTACATAATTAATTGAATGAGAAATGGATTGTGTTTACGCAGACAGATCTTTTGCTTGACCGCTAAGAGTAAAATAATTATTTGCCTGTAATTATTAGTATTTTTCTCCGATTTATTGAAGTTGATTTTTTAATTCAAATATAATTTTTACTATTTTAGACACACTGTAAAAATCTTGCTAGCTGTTTTCCGTATTTAATTTTTTTTATTAACTTGGTTGAATTTTTATTTAAAAAAATGCCAGTTAATAACGAATGTGAAAATAATGTTTAATTTTTTTTATTTTGTTTTAATAACCGATGCAAATCTTGTGACGTACTAAAACAACAAAATGTTATTTTCATGTGTAACTTGTCAATTTGGCACCCTTCAATACAGCAGCGATACTTTGAACTTTTGATTTAGGTACGGTCTCGAGCGCCAGTTACTGTTTTAAAGTGTAGGAACACCGCTTTATTCTACCAGCGGTATGATAGAAGTTAGGATAACTCAGTGAAGAAACGGAATGTCCAGGCGGTCTGTGTGTGTGGTTGTCGGTTTGGTGGCAATAGACAACTCCAGCTGACCTGCCGAAAATGATTCTCGGTGTACAAACAGATTTACTTGTTTATATATGGTAGCCGAGTGGGTAAAGCGCTTATAGCTATTTACTCGGTACCGTATATCGATGGTTCGAATCCATCCCGGAGCAACAAATTTTATTTGTAATTTGCTTCGGATTAAGATGGGAGTGAACTGTCGATGCCCTAGATGTGGTTCGGACCCCACAATAAACTGTAGGGCCTCGTCTCTCTTTATTCAACACAAAATCCTAGGATTTTCTGGGAGTTACTTCGGTGACTTGAGAGGCAGTTAAGAAACTATTTTAAGCAAACATATCTTTGCTTTAAATAAAAGGCAGAAGTTCAACTTCACTTACTATATTTATTTAAGACTGCTTTACAGAAGAAAAAATAAACAAAAGCCAATAAATAAATAATGTTTTAATGGAACATAGATAAATTCTCGGGTGCAAACAGGTTTACTTGTTTATATATGGTAGCCGAGTGGGTAAAGCGCCTATAGCTATTTACTCGGTACCGTATATCGATGGTTCGAATCCATCCCGGAGCAACAAATTTTATTTGTACTTTGCTTCAGATTAAGATGGGAGTGAACTGTCGATGCCCTAGACGTGGTTCGGATTCCACAATAAACTGTAGGGCCTCGTCTCTCTTTATTCAACACAAAATCCTAGGATTTTCTGGGAGTTACTTCGGTGACTTGAGAGGCAGTTAAGAAACTATTTTAAGCAAACATATCTTTGCTTTAAATAAAAGGCAGAAGTTCAACTTCACTTACTATATTTATTTAAGACTGCTTTACAGAAGAAAAAAATAAACAAAAACCAATAAATAAATAATGTTTTAATGGAACATAGATACTAAGTTATGTTACAAGTAAGCAACCAAGGAACCAAGCACCAAGCAAAAGCAGTGATCGGTTATATCAAGCACAGCTAAGTTACGGAAACTACTACTACTAAAGTATTACTAGCAGTAAACAATATTCAAGCATCTACAAAAGCAAGCAAGTGGCGAATCAAAATAAAGCAAAGTTATGGCAGCTACTTCTACAGGTATTACAGCAAGCGGTTAATGACTCTAGTCACTAATGCTTAAGATAGTATTACGGTAGGCAGTCGGTGCAGCAGGTATTGTCAGTGGTAAGCGGTAACGGAGTGCAAGCAAAATACAAAAGTAGGAGGTCATTCCAGAGACAGGCGGTATACCGGGTGCCTACGATATTACTAGCCAGCCTATAACTTCCTTGTAAAAAAAGATATCGATTTCAAATTTTGGGATGTTGTATGCTTGAATACGGTGCACAGTTTGATTGCTTCAAGATCTGATTTTCATTTCCGGTTTAACCGGAAACAGTATAAAATTTGTTATTTTTAATGGAACACCCTGTATATTATTCGAAAGTTAGATTGCCTAGGAAATATCAATCATAAATTATTTTATTTTCACATAAAACAAATGAATTTAGGAACAAATCTGTTACGGTTATTTAAGTTTTTTGGTGAGTAAAATTTAATAGTCATAAAAATTTCATTTCCGGCTGAACCGGAAGTACTACGAAAAGTGATTTTTAGGCTCAAATTACTTCGATATTTTTAATGGAACATCCTGTATTGAACCTTAAATTTACATTCTACTAACCTTTCTGGATATTTTTTATTTCTGGTGTCCCCTGTCTAAACCTAATAGTTTATGAGATATCGGCGACTTAGGCACCCGGTATATGACTGTCTAATCGCGAGCGTGCTATATCTTTAGACTAGCTCTTAATGTCCCTTGTTAGGGTTACTTGCCTACGTGTGGTGAACGGAACGGTTTGTATTCGTGTGCACCTGATGAAATCCTTTTCAGGAATTGAGCTATAAAGATTTCACCAGTACTTGTGCAACTACGTCTAAGATGGAACTCTTTTCAGAGATCGAGGTATAAAAGTCCTATCTTTACGTCAATACTCAATGAGTTGACTACCGAATATTCCGATGCTTATTTAACTATATAGCGCAACCGATCAGTTTTACCAACTCAGGTTTGAATTGCAAAACTGTCCCTTAAACTTACTAAACCAGAGATATGCATGAATGACTGGAGATATTGGAGGTTAACTTCCGTTAGCTAGTGATAGCTTAGAGTAATCGGTTATCAAATCAACTTCAAGCATATTTCCTGTACCAATTAATTATAGTGAACACGAGTATCGGACGGAAGAGTTTATGTATTAGCTCCCTGGGCACTTAGTGAGATAATTTTCACAAATCGAGGCATAAATACCTCACTGGTGTCACTGCGTATGCACCTGATGAAATCCTTTTCAGAGATCGAGGTATAAAGATTTCACTGGTACTTTAATGCAACTACAACTTAGATGGGACTCTTTTCAGAGATCGAGGAATAAAAGTCCTATCTTTACGTCAATACTCAATAAAATGACAACCGAATAATTTCGATGCTCCTCGTTGAATGGATAACCCAACTTTATCAATGAATCGTGACCTTTTCTGAAAATCTCTGGCTTATTCGGAAAACAGGTAACTTTGGACAAAACAATACAGCAGTAAATTCGGACGCAAACGGTAAAATAATGGAAATACAAATAAAATAGTAAAATGGTTAAAATTATTAACATTACCTGGTTGCGGAGTGCACTGGAGATAGGGAGCTGACATCTGACAGACTAGACCATCAGTCCAAATTAGATTCAAAGAGCATATGGCCCATCTCAAATATGGTTGAATAGATAAGTCTATACATTGTACTGATTCTGCGGTTGGTTCCTTGTGAAACATTATTAAATATTTTAAATAAACAAAGAAAATTTGCTTTTAAATGTTTCAAAATTGTATTTTCACTCCACACGTGTTTCGGCTTTTTAGGCCCTTTTCAACAGTACAGATGAGAGGTACTAAATTATAATTTGTGTTCCTTGCTTATATACTGAATGTTACATCTGGCAACTTATACTAATAAAAATGGTTTGAAAGATTTGGAATTATTTAGAAAAGTTAAATTACTTTATCTAAAATGTGGTGACCTGCGAATATTTGTTGTTCATTTGTAATCGTTTTTTTATTTTTGGAAGCTTTCTTAATTTCTAATATTTCTAGTAAGTCTAATTTTTTGCTTTTCTTTTCGGAATGAAGTAATTCTACATTATCCATATTTATAAAGTGATTGTTTTCTATACAGTGTGTTGACATGCCGGTGCTATATACGTTGTTTACAATAGACTTTTTATGCTCTTCAAGTCGCTTTTTTATGTTACGTCCAGTCTGGCCAATGTATATAGCGTCGCAGTCACTACATTTTAGTTCATACACTCCTGTCTTTTGTAGTTTTTCTGTTTTATCTTTATTGTTTATTAACATTTTTTCCTAGGTTATTTTTATTTACAGATATTGTTTTGCAACCTAATTTACTTAATTTATTGCTGACTTTATCACTAATTCCAGGTCTATAATTAATACATTTATGGATGATATTGGCGTCTTGTACAGAACCAGCATAAAACTCCTTATACAGATTTTTCTTTTGTTTTGTTTTTATTAAATTATCTATGATACTTTCTTTGTATCCATTATTCCTTGCCATTTGTTTTATTGTGTTGACTTCTTTTTCAAAATTGTTTGGACTTAAAGGAAAGGTTAGCAGACGGTGAACAAAACTATGAAACGATGACATTTTTATTTGGAAAGACTGGTTAGAACTATTGTGTATTACTGTATCTGTACAGGTAGGTTTACGGTAGATATCGAATTCTAAACAACAATTATGATTTTTTATGTTGACGTCTTGTTTAGAATTCGGTATCTACCATAAACCTACCTGTACAGATACAGTAATACACAATAGTTCTAACCAGTCTTTCCAAATAAAAAATGTCATCGTTTCATAGTTTTGTTCACCGTCTGCTAACCTTTCCTTTAAGTCCAAACATTTTGAAAAAGAAGTCAACACAATAAAACAAATGGCAAGGAATAATGGATACAAAGAAAGTATCATAGATAATTTAATAAAAACAAAACAAAAGAAAAATCTGTATAAGGAGTTTTATGCTGGTTCTGTACAAGACGCCAATATCATCCATAAATGTATTAATTATAGACCTGGAATTAGTGATAAAGTCAGCAATAAATTAAGTAAATTAGGTTGCAAAACAATATCTGTAAATAAAAATAACCTAGGAAAAATGTTTATAAACAATAAGGATAAAACAGAAAAACTACAAAAGACAGGAGTATATGAACTAAAAATGTAGTGACTGCGACGATATATACATTGGCCAGACTGGACGTAACATAAAAAAGCGACTTGAAGAGCATAAAAAGTCTATTGTAAACAACGTATATAGCACCGGCATGTCAACACACTGTATAGAAAACAATCACTTTATAAATATGGATAATGTAGAATTACTTCATTCCGAAAAGAAAAGCAAAAAATTAGACTTACTAGAAATATTAGAAATTAAGAAAGCTTCCAAAAATAAAAAACCGATTACAAATGAACAACAAATATTCGCAGGTCACCACATTTTAGATAAGTCTAGTGTAGACCAACATGCATTTGAGATCAACCATAAAATAGATATTAGCAATTTAAGATTAATTAGGAATACAACAAATACTAGACAGCTGGATGAATTTGAAAGCTTGGAAGTCATAAAGTGTAAAAATAGTATGAATAGTGACAGAGAGCCTATCCCAAATAGCCCGCTTTATTGGTTAGTGGATCACGGTTTGGTGAACCGTGACAATAGTTTAGGTATATATAGGGTTGATTGTGAGAATAAGTTTAGTTTTAATCATCTCCAGATGATGCCAACTTGGTTGGCGAAACGCGCATCGAGTGCAGTATATAGTGTTTTGGTGTTTCGTGGAAAACTACGTCAGTGTTATTGTTTATTTATTGTTGTGATAAAAGGTTTCTCTTTAATACTTGTGTGTTAAAAAATATTAATAAAATATTTAAAATGGACAGTGATGATTATGTCTAGATGTTTGGGACCCCACCAGTGTTAGTAGCAACTGCAAAAAATGTGACTTTAAATTTAATACACTGAACTGATTCTGCGGTTGGCTCCTTGTGAAACATTATTAAATATTTTAAATATATGAAGGAAATTTGCTTTTTA